ACTGCAAAGAAAAAAAAGTTTTTTTTTAAATACCCTAATTGGGACAAGCATGTCAAAAAACAATTTTTCCGCGAGAAAAAAACATTTTTTACAGCAATATTTATTGCGTGAGACTCATTTTAGTTTGCGGCTATTTCGTCCGTTTTAAATCGCGCGCCACGAAGTTGTGATTATGTGACGTCAATCCCAAAAGGTCTCATTGGCTAAGAGTTTGATTGACAGCTTAGATCTTGGTTGTTAAACCTTTGTTATATGTTGCAATTTCCTTTTGAGCGGCATATTTTTATGTTTAAAGAATAACCCATGTGATGAGAGTTATTATTCTTTACAAAAGGTTTACAAGACGGGCACGTCCGTTTGGATTCATACAAACAGAAGCTTCGCCATTCTTTCATGGCCGCCGAAGTCTCCCCAGACAACACAAATGTATCCCAGGGACGTCCTACGGACGTCCCACCGGGATGGCAGCGACATCCCAGGGATATCCCAGATTCCCCCCTTAAACTTCCCGTAGACGTCCCAAATGGCACTGGAAACAATGGCATGGGAGGTTCCCACGGAGGTCCCGTGGACATCCCTTCGCACTCTCACGGGATGCGAGTAGGACTACTTTGGGAGGTATTATCCCACATTGGATGGCTATGCGACTTGCACAGGACAGCTCATTCTGGTTTGCGGATGCCATTTGAAATTACTCGAAACCACTGGAGCCAGTGTACCGAGCCGCCAACACAGGCGATGTGCATTCTACATTCTGGTGTAAGGGAGACATGGCATGTGCTGTTTTGAAGGAAAGTAAATCTCACTATGGTGAGTGTTAGGAGTTTTACAAGGCATGACAACTGGGGTCTCTTGCAGCCTCACAGCTGTAAATGCAGTTCTTACTGAGGATGTAGCCAAAGACCCCTGAAAAACAGCATCATTACATGCATGATATACTGATTATCAAGTATTCATTTAACAAAATGAGTGCCTCCTGCTGTTTACTAGAATGTAAAACACACTGCATGTGAAGACGGCCCTTTTGCAAGACTCCAGATGAGGTTCTCATTAACAAAAAGGCAACTCCAATCTGTAAGAAAAGGTAACCTCTATTTTATTTGCACACACCATTTCCCGGCTCTTACAGACTATCCGTAGCTTTCCGGCCATCTTGCTTTCACAGACCCTCCCCGGGTTCTTCCACATCCCTAGAAGATAGAAGAACAAGCTGATAAGCTGAATTCCCTGTTGAAACTGCCTTGTTGAATGTCTGCTTAAATTATTAATTATTCTAGTGCGACCATGTTTGTAGCTTTTCAGGTAGACACCTCAACCAAAGCAAATGCAGTTCATTTGAGAGTGGTATGCTCCATTCCTTAATATGTTCCGAACCGTGGCCATATATTTCAGAGTTGGACATGCAACATGTAATTTCATGAACCTTAACATTGCAACCTCAGCTGAACACAAATGAATAGGCTTACTTATTGCAATGCTTTTGAAGCCTCTCCTGGGCATGGCGCAGCCATGACATTGTAGTGGCTTCAACTTCCTTCAGGGTACCAACAGCCACCTCCTTCGGCTTGCTCGCTGTAATGCAAGCTGTAAAATATTTTAGGGTTAAAATCTAGCAGAAGCAGATGTGTTACTTAGCTGCAGCACCATGTCTTATAGCATGATTTTATTAGTTAGAGCCAACAGGAAATGAAATTAACCAATTGTAAATGAGTTTCTCATAAACGTTCCACACACACAAAGTAAAAATCATGAATGATATCATTGCACTGCATGGGTACATACCACACATCACCTTGCAGAACTCTAGACTGGAGAACTTTCCCTTTGTCTTGGTCCCATACCATGTGAAGGCTGACCCCACTTCGTGGCACAGCATTTTGCGAAGAATTCGGGCAGTTTTATCTATCGCATCATCACCCCCAATTACTTGCATCTGCTGCTTCTGAAATAAAATACCAAAGATAGTAAATGTGAACTTGCTGGACGTGGGGAATGGGTCGCCTCTACTGCAGGAGGGTGTGTGAAGGCCTCAGAGGCCGTACAAAAAGTAGTATGGATTTATCCTCCTTATAAAAAAGAGTGCATCTCAAACGTGAGCTAACCAGTTGGACCCTTTTTTGTTCGCATGCAGTCAACTCTTTCTCAAAGGCAAGGAATTCCTGTAGGGTCTCGAACTGTGCAAAGCTTAGAGGTTCAGCAGGTGGCCCATCCACATGGTGTAACATGTCGGTGATCATCAAGAGCTGCTCAGATTGGTGTTGTTGGGTTTGTCTCATGATGTGTAGCGACTTCAGTACCTGCATCATGAAGCCTAGAACGAGTGCACACAAAGTTGTACGTAAGGCGATCCCAGCAGACGAACATATGTTAGAGCAAGAGGTATCTAGTCTTAAGAAAACAATTGAATGTCATCACCACTAAATTGCTGGCTGGATGTTGATGTACTCGGGCCATGAGTGTAAGGCTGTCCGTCTTTCAAAATGTGATCACCTGTGAAACAGCAAAAGTATCCTTAAATAGGATTTGAAGCACCATCTGAACAATGTAACATAATAGTAAGAGAAAGATTTATAGTGTGTGCTCAAATAGCAAAAGGGATTGTTTTTTTGAAAATGGGATATGCCACAAAAATTTGGATTTATTACCGTGTTCTTGGCTTGCTTGCTCATGTCTCGGAGTCAAAGGGGACATGGAACGGCCTCCTGGCAAAGAAATTGAGCGCAAACTGCGGTTCAAGCCTGATCTGTATAACAATGCACATCCACAGTAAACAGGTTCAAACTTAGTCCCAAATATTGCAAATAGACTAAGACTAATAACTTATGTGTCCATGAAGACAGTTAGTAACCCTCCGCTGTCTATAGATGGAATGGTTCCCGGGAGAAAAGAGATATGTAACAGAGCTCTTCTAGCACTGAATTACCACAATAGGGCAGATATCAAAAGGCACTCGAGATAATAACTTCCAAAGCAGTGAAATCAGCCAAACGAAGCACGGACTATGCTGGTTTGTAAACAAGTTCCCTCATTAAAGCACAAGTTAGGTTCCTGTCTTCCATAAACAAATCAAGCAAACAAAAAACAAACTTTTTTCCCCATGTTCCCACCAAGCAGGTGACTTGCTCGCTTGACTGCAAGGCGACGTTTCTTTACGGAATGCACGGCGAGTATCTGATGGAAAAATCTTGTGTGCACCATATTAGAAAGTACCGTAAAATACTGGGTGTTCGCCCATTCCACACTAAGCGCCCACCTCCAAACATTGTAGCATCTCAAAGATTATGCGCAGTACAAATATAGGTGAAATTGATCACCTAACGAGAATCCCCCCTCTTTTCGCGATTATCTCCAAATTTTGAGAGGGCGCTTGCTCGGTACATTACGGTATATACAATTAAGGCAATATCACCTCAAAAAAGGCAAAGCTATCCTGGAAAAGTATTGAGAAAAAGATCCAAAAGTGATAAATGTTTGTTACCATGTGTCCGCTCTTTAGAGGAATCACTGGTTGCTGAACGGCGCCGAGTTGACAGCTCTCCACAAGGCTCGCGGCGACAGCCTGAAAGAGAAATTATGCATTTTCCGTACTTTAAAGATAATACAAGAAAGACAACCTCACGATGGAAAAGTTATCCTGGAGTGGTGTTGAGAAATATTTCCAAAAATAATAAATGTCTATTACCATGTGTCCACTCTTGAGAGGAATAGTTGGTTGCTGAACGGTGTCGAGGTGACAGCTCTCCACGAGGCTCACGGCGACTGCCTGAAAGAGAAATCATGCATTTGCAATAAATTAAACATAGTAGAAAGACAATTCCACCACAGAGAAGCTATCTGGGAGTGTTGAGAGAAAGCTCCAAAAGTAATAAATATCTATTACCATGTGTCCACTGTTCAGAGGAATAACTGGGTGCTGAACGGTGCTGAGGTGACAGCTCTCCACGAGATTCATGGCGGCTGACTGAAAAAGAAACCAAACATTCACCATACTTTAAACATGATACAAGAAAGACAACCCCACCACAGGAAAGCTATCCTGGAGTGGTGTTGAGAAAAAGCTCGAAAAGTGATAAATGCTTGTTACCATATGTCCACTCTTGAGAGAAATGACTGGTTGGTGAACGGTGCCGAGATGACAGCTCTCCATGAGATTCACAGTGACTGCCTGAAAAATAAACCATGCATTCACCTTACTTTAAACATAATACAAGACAACCCCACCACAGAAAAGCTCCAAAAGTGGTAGATGTTTACTACCGTGTGTCTGCTCTTGAGAGAAATAACTTGTTGGTGAATGGTGCTGAGGCGACAATTTCTCATGAGATTTACGCCGACTGCCTGAAAGAGAGACCACGCATTAGCCGTAGGAGTGATGAATATTTCGTACCATGTCTAGCCTCTCCACATGAATTCTTAGACATCGGAACTCTGGAGCGTGAGGACAAAAAAGATGACCACAAACACAAAGCTCCGTGTTGTGTCCATCCTTTTTGTCCCCATTCCAGGGTTACTACGTCTATCCTTTACTAGTTCGCCTGCCTACTGGGTTCAACTTCAATGAATCCTTGGTTGCTGATTGGTACCGAGGTAATGGATCAGCCTTTAAAAAGGTGGTGGCTGCCTAAAAAGACATGATGAATCCATTGTCGCTGAAATCACATGCTAAGAATACAGCACCAACCAAGGAACATTGAAGCAATTCTGCTAAGGCATTGAAACAAAGCACCAAAAGCAATTAACATTTACTACCATGTGCTCGCTTGCCGGAGGGCTTGTAAGTCTTTTCTCGAACCTGGGGCACTTTACGTCTGCAGCGGACGCCTGGAGAAATAAACATGCCCGAGTTATATTTGAAACAAGAACTTGAAGAACTCAGACATGTGAAATGTCAAAAAGCAAATACCTTCCGTAGAGGTGCGCTCAGTTTGCTGCTTACGGAGTAAACCACTCACTTTTCGTTGTTGGTTTAAAGCATGGTGGAGTTGGCGGTTTGGGTGGCTGGTAGGTCTCTTCACCCTCAGATTCAGTTTCACTATACAAGATCCTCTTGGCTTTTTTCCTTCTCCCACGACCCATCTCCACGTCGCTACAAAGGTCCGATGTCAACTCGGCCGTCGGCAACTTGCTTCTGGCTTTCTGGTAAGTGTCTGTAAAAAAGAAGGGATTGCTATGTCTCCACCAAGCATTCAGTTGCTAGAATATCTCAAGCAGTTTTTTCCACTTACCATACCATCCTAAGGAAGCAAAACGGGATTTCTTCCAATCTGGCTGTGGCTGGGCACCTTCCAAGGTGAGAGCACCAAGATTCTTGTGTGTTGCAGCCGGCCAAAAGCAGTCAGCCCCATCCACCCAGTTTAAATGAATAACGGCGACGGTATTGTCACCAACGAATTTGACAACTCCAAACTTTTTGTCATCTAGATAAATAAAAAAGAAAGATTCTGTCAACAAATGAAGATTGCAGATCAATATACAACCAAAGTTGAAAGAGGTGACATTACTGCAAATGAAGTAAAGGAAAGACAGCAAATTTCCCCTTGTAAGGCATTCGGACACATTTCTGGGCAACATCTGAAAGTGGCCACGATTTGGTGACGGAAGGGTTACACGCCAGCACAACACCAAGCATTGACGACGGACAGGGGTGGGTATACAAGTCACTTGAGCTCTCGAACCGCTTGCCGATCACCAGTGCCTGGCCAGACGTGGAGCAAAAAGCGAAGTTCTGGATCATGATGATGTCACCATCGTTGAGCATACAGGTGTTGTCATTGATGCGAGTCCTCAACGTAAATTTGTGAGGGATTTGAACAGCCTTGTATTGAGGGCCTTTACATCCAACAGACAGTGGGCCATTGACATGTTCATGGAAAAAGTGATTTTTATCCTTGAACTTTGTCTTCACAAACATACTTCTGCGTTCAGTGATTCTGTTGTAGAGTTGCTCCAAGGGTCTCTCGGGTTTCCTTTGAAAGACTTTCAATGTCCCCATAAAGTTCTCAAAAGGGAATGCACTCCACCCATCCAAGGGTCCATGAGTGCGTGCATCATTCGCAATGTGGATAAGGTTGTGCACGTTATGCGACACCTTATCCTTTCCATACAATGAAATGTAGGTCTCGACAAAATGTACAAGCAGTTGTTCAGAATAGTCCACATACTCAAGGCAAAGTTTTGGGCTGCTGAGAATTGTGATGGCAGCGTGCAGAGTCATGAAGTTGAAGAAGAAAGGCTCTGAAACTCTCGAGTAAAGAACAATGGGCCCTGTGTATAACACAAAGAGCCGAAATTCTACCGCCTTCCAGCGGTCTAAATCGAGCAGACTTCTGGGCTTTCGACCAAAATCAGAACAGATGTACCGTTCAATCTCAAGGTTGGCTAAAGATATAGCATCTCGTGCAGCCGTGCCTAACCGACACCTGCTGTCACCCTTGAGCCATAATCTCAGGAGCTTAGAAACCACACCTAAACAGACAAGGTGCATATAGTCCAATGGAACGTTCTTCACTAGATCAATAGGAAGCTTTTCCAGTTCAGTTCTTTGGAGATGATGTTCCTCTTGTGCATGGCTTCGGAAACTCCCATCTGTTCTCAACGTGGCATCAAGCTGCGGAAAGCACATGCGACCATTGAGAAAGTCACCTTCTGTTTGGCATTTTGTACAACTGAAGTAACCATTGTGGCCCTTGATGCCGAGGACATAGGACTTTGCGGGAGCATCACAGATGAGCGCAGAAAGCTCGATTCGCAAATGCCTGCCCTTGAAGATTAATCCGTCGCTCAGTGCTTCAATGATGTCGGACACAGCAGGCCGCAGAAATTCCTCCGCACAAACGGCTTTTGATTTGCCATAGTAAACACCAATGGGAAAGGGGTCACATTTCCCGCAATTGGTCACATGGCATAGCACAGGCCAGAACTGATCACGGGTGCTTTTTGTGAGCGGAAGACCGTCAATGTTTACATTGATCTTGATGACGTCTGGCACAAAACGTGCTCGTTTCAAAGTATCGTCAAGTCCTTCCTTCACACCGAAATGGCAGAATTTGCCGGCTCCCATCTTCTCTACACATGCCTTTCTGGGGGTTTTAAGCAGTGATCTAGCACTGCCGGGGATTGATGCAAAACAGGAATGAGTTTGCAAAATCTTCAGAAGCTCAGTGAGTGCGCGGTGAGGCGTAGCATTGTCAAGAGCCCAGCTCCGGAGTTTTCCTACAATCGATTCATGAACGTCCGCATCCTCGCAATTTCTCTTCTCTTCATATCGAATCGAGCTCTCCGGAATGTTCTGAGGCTGTAGGTCAGCTCGGTCGAATTCATTTGCCTCCGAGCTCTCAAACTCTGTGCCTGAGCTCTCCGGATTGTCCCCAGGCTGGAAGTCAACTCGGTCGAATTCATCTGGCTCCGAGCTCGAGAGCTCGGAGCCTGAGCTCTCTGAAATTTGCTGAGGCCGGAGGTCAGCACGTTGGGCTTCATCTGGCTCCAAGCTCTCGAGGTCGGAGTTGAATGTTGAAAGCAGATGGCTCCGCTCTCTTCGGCCATGCTGCTCTTCAACCGGGATCGAGCCGTCGCCAAGCTGGCCCACTTGGAAAACTTCATCGGCCGTTAGAGCATGCAGATCTTCAAAGGCCCTTTTACGCGCTCGCCTATAAAACGTGGTTTTGGAGGTTGGTCCATCGGTAAGCAGGTTACACACCACGGCCTTTGCGTGCACACACAAGTGGCAAGAACACGCTTCCCGCACTAAGTGGCACGTGTAAATACAAAACGTTACCTGGAGTAGCTCGTTGATTTTCCATGCTTTCCATGGCTGCAGCAACGCGCCAGGGGTACCAACGGTATTCCAAGCTCTGCTCAACCGTCTGTCAAATTCGCGTCCGTGTTTCGTTTTTTCATTCAAAGACCAGAACAATCGGAGCGGAGAAAATAGCTAGGAGTTGAAAGCGAGGACCGGTTTCCGTTTTTTGGCGCGAAAGCTGCCGGAGCATGACCAATGTGGCCAGACTCCAACTGACTTCGGTTGTACAGTAGTTATACATGCTTGGTTCAGTAATAATAAAACTTAGTATGTACACGTTAATTAATTTTCGCTACCTCCCTCCACACTTTTTTACAGTAGTGCATAGTTTAAGGAACGGACTAATACTAATGTCTAACGTTTTCGTTTTTTTAAACATTTGCAGTACCGAAACTGAAACTAAGCTAATTTTTAGGGGAAACTCCAAGTGTATGTGCTTGTGCATTGTATTCAAGAGGTGTCAAGCCGAACTTATCATTTTATGTGAGAAAAACGAAACTGGCCCCATTACGGAACAAGAAAAAAAGTTCTTCATAGTGCTTGTCCCCGTGTTCAACACGAAGGCACCCTCCGTGTCGGACCGTCGAACGCGGGGTCGCACGCGCATATACTTGGGGCGTTGTACCGTTATCCGACAGACCGCTCGCTGTCCACCTTTACCATAATATTTTAAATTTCGGACGTCAACACAGAAAAACCTGCGTGAACCCTAACGTAAAAAAAAAAAAAAAAAAAATTATTGCTAAAATTTTTTGACCCTTTAACATCCCCAGTTCATCCGGTGACAGATTTCCGAGGAACATCCCAGTGGGAAGTTTTCGGGATCATTCACTAACGGATGTCCCACGGAGGTCCTAGGGATATTAAAGTTGGAGTTTGCGAAGTCGGGAGGTTTTTGGGACATCCCTGGGATACGGTGTGTTGTCTGGGTCTGCTCCCGCCTGTCTCGCCTACCTGGACTAATCGTTTCGCCGAAGTGATCAGTGTTTCGTCGTTTCGTACTGACCCAGGTACTTCTTGAAGTGAGGTAGTGTGTGTTTAGCAGCTGTCGCAGGTGTTAGTGATAGGAAGCGACGCGGGGTTTTGGCTTTCATAGCGCGGTTCTTTCGTCTTCCTCTTTGCTTGCTTAGCGTGTTTTCTGTTTTTTTTTTTTGTTTTGCTTGTTTGCGCGTGCAAATGCTGACTTTTCGGAGATGTCAGATGCGTGATCTCGACAGTGAGCCTTCCAGCAGCCATGTCGCCCCGAAAGGAACGCTATTTGGCTGGAGGCAATCGGGCGTTCGCGTAGCGACCAACGTGTCTAGTTACGTTCTCGTCATATCGCTCTGGAGGCCGTCGATATTCGCCCCGTGTGCACCTAACGTCCGCGACTAGACAGAAAATAAAAAAGCACTATGTCTACTACGTAAAAATGGTCTCAGTTCATGCATCTGTAGGCAGGTACGAAATCGTGCCCAAATTTATTCACACCGCACGATGCAACACGTCGCTGTGCAAACGCAGTCCAACACGAAGCATAAAAACGGCAGATTTAGGACAACAATTCGGAGTCCATTGTTCAATTAAAACGACGTAATTTTGTTGAAAACGCCCGCAGCGTTTTACTCACGGTATCCGTCGGGAAACTTCCACATTTTGAAACAGAACGAGGCAGATTTACTTTTAAAAACGCTCCCAGCGTCCTCCCGGGCCAGTTTGACTGGATCAGCTGACGACGACGGGACTTATCTGGTTGAACGTCAACCCCACAACAACCAATTTGCGCTCCGTGTTAGCACCGCATTACACACACCACGAACGTTTCAGCTCTGTCGCATCGCCTTGTTGCACCAAACCAACGTTACTAAAACACTCAGTTGGGAAACTCCCATAGAGACAGCCCTAAAAATATGGCCCCAATCTGTCTCCGAGCACCGAGCTAATGACGAACACAACGCCACCATTTCCCCCGCAGCGGCCACTCGAGGAACCGCACGTGACTTCTATTTTTGGCTTTGACAGAGGTGAACCCCCGTCTCCCCGGCGGACGCGCCGCGTTGAACTGCTGAAGTTAAAATGCACCTAGGTCGGGACGCGCTACCTGAAAGGCCCGCTGAGGCATGGTTTTATAAAAACAATATTAATTGTTCCGCAAAACCTTGCGAACTAAAGATGATAAAAACATCACGCGCCCATCATTTGGTACTAAACTCTAATAAATTTCATACAAAAAGAGTCTTTTCCGTTTGTTTTTACGCAAAAAACAGGCTTTCAAAAAGCTCGAGGTGACCATAGTACAGACAAACGATAAAGAGTGGCGCTGTTGTCGCATTTAGCTCGGTCTCGGTGGACGCCAGCGGCCCAGTTTCGACGGCGAGTTTCCCAACTGAGTGTTTTAGTAACGTTGCACCAAACAGAACGAGATCGCCGAAACCAACGCAGCGCTGTCGTGAACCTTGGCTTGTGGTTGCGCACTCGTGGATTCTGTGACTCCCTTCGCTTTCAAAGCGCTCACGACGATTACGAATGATACTTTCCGTCATCCGGGAACATCACAGGGGCACTTCTCCGGTCACGTCTTCGCTACATGTGCTCGCAAACCGCGTCAAACCATAACAACCAAAACAATACCGCGGCCTGGCGTAGTTGCCAGATCTTGCCGGAAGTCGAGACGCTGCGCCGGTTCAACTCCGTAACGCAAGGAGAGTGAGGGGCGGGGCGTACTCCTCTTCCGCGGGGGTCGAAAGAGCGGGAGTTTCAAATGTGGAGAGGTTCTGACTCTACTAAATTACGTCCTGTGGCGTAATTTGTAATTGCTTTGGAGGTTTATTTGCTGAAGAAACGCTGAGCAAAAAGCACAGAAGCTGACGCAACTTGAGGTCGAGGAGCGTTCTACCATACCAGTGGCGTCGGAGGAGGAAAAACGGAGGGGGGGGGGGGGAGAAGGGGGGGTGCTTCAGTCTCTCCCCCCCCCCCCCCCACCCTCCCAGATATTTCGGATTGTTAAAGAAAACAATACGGGGAAAGAGGGCGTAGTCGAGCTTATTTTAATCTGAAATTATTTATGCATATGTATAGCTACTGTCGCTCTTCACTGCATAAAAGATTGCGTAGATGGTCATTGTTAGAAACTCGTTGTCAGAAGGCACTACTCGTCACATGCTTAGTGTTTCGGAAGTTCAAAGCTATGTCTTTTGAACCTAAATACATGTGCCAATAAAAAATAAAAAAAAAATGCGGGGATAAAAAGCTGGAAAAAACAACTATCAAGAATTCACCGGAAGTGTTGTATTCTTGCATATTCAGAGGTTCAGAACTTCGAAACAAGTTTCTTTTAAAAAATGTGTACGGGCTAAAAGAAATACTTCCCAGGAACGTGAAGCGAAAAAAAAATGTTTTCTTTTAATGACGTGCTGAACTTGAACACTATTAGAAATCTTCTCCCATGAGTTAATTACGTGAAAAAAAACAATAAATACATTACTTTGTATTCTGCAGATGGCAATGATATGTACTGTCCGTGGTGTTAATTTAAATGCGATACCTCAAACAACTTAGACGGAAATAAATATCAAGTTTAGGGCATAATTGCATGTAGATACATGTTTGGACATTTCTTCAAAACTCACGTTGAATAACAATAATCACATCTTAAGACGGCACTTACCTAGGCTATACATAGATCATTCTTAAAGAAGTATAACATCTCTACCATAAATAGCTTCGGCTACAGCGCGCTTCAAATCTGGCACAAACGATAATCGTCAAAAACCCGTCGTCCTTCCTCGCCCCTTCGGGAATTTATTTCTTTAAAACTAAGCATGCCAGAACATTGAAACAAACGGCATTGTCTTTCGTAAGGAACGCAGCACCGCGTGTAAAAGTTCGAGAAGAAAAAAATTACGAATGTACCTCACTACTTGAATTCAAATGAAACCGTCCGCCGGTCCTTCGAAGTTCGACGAACGTCGAACTTTTACCCTAAAAGTTCGAAGTTCGTCGAACTTCTGACTTTTCAGGAATCGAAAGTTCGAAACTTTTCGAATTCCTTTGATAAATAAGTTCGAAAGTTCGCAATTCATCGAATTTTTTGGTCAGTTAAGTTCGAAAGTTCGACAAGCATCGAACTTTGCAGCGCAATAAGTTCGAAAGTTCGAAAATATCGATTTTTTAGCGTAATAAGTTCGACGGTTCGAAAAGCGTCGAACTTCTTAGTTTAGCAAGTTCGAAAATTCGACTTCCGTCGAATTTTACGATGTAGACAATTCGACAAATCGAAATCTTTCGAACCTTTTGAACCGCTTGATTCGATCATCGAAACTTCGATTCGAAAAAAGTTCGCGGCATCCCTAGTGTTTATGTGTGTGCTCTCATAGGTATACGAGGGAGTCAACTTACACTCTACATTTCACCCTCATTTTCTTTGACAACATTTTGGGTTACGGCCCTGTGTACAAATTTGATATATGTGTGCGTGTGCGTGGTTTTTTTTTTTTTTTTTTTTCAAATTTTGGGTGGCGGGCTGGCAGGCGCACTCGCGTACGGGTTTTAACCTTTCTGCACAGCCGTGCACGCCACTCAGGATCAGATTTTTGTATGCAAATAAATATTATTATTATTAATATTATTATTACCAGAGCAAGACCTTAGTGGAGATACGCATGCACTGTGTGAACACCACTTGTAGAAAATGAAAGAAAAAAAATTGGTCTTTAGTTAAAAGACACGTTGTTTTTGAATGAATTCATTATGAAGCATCCTTTAACTGTACTTCAAGCTTTACGGAAGCTGTACAAAATCATAGCGAAGTCTTCAAAAGAAACACTTGGCTTATCTTGAAGTACATAAGAAATTTGTTAGATGTCACTTTAGTTGAAGTACTTTCTTACGTGTTAGTTAAAAACTCTCAGCAATACATGTTTGATGTTCATGTTTGATATATGTTCCAAAAAGGCGTACACGCCCTAAAATAAGGAAGTCATTGCTTTGTATGGGACTTCACAACTTTTTTTTGCATTGTGTGTGTGTGTGTGTTTTCGTATTTTACTAT